CCTCTTTCGTGCCTCCAAGCTCCTACTTTCTTTTCCCATCAGTATAAAAGTAGAAAAAAATACTTTATAACGATATAAAGCCAAAAATTTATAATGACATAAGGTCAAAAATATGTACATATAGTAGGATAACGTCAAAATACAAATATCTAACCAAAATAAGGTAGGTTAAAATACTTGTACTGAAAACCAAAACCGAAAATGAAAATGGGTCTCGCCTAAGCATTCATAACGTCACGTACTTCGAAAACAGGTGTGCGTCTTTGGGTTGAGCCCCAACAATAACTAAACAGTAACAACTATAGTAAACGGGTCTACCTGCCCACTTGCTTAACGAACCCAACGAATATGACATCGATATTATAGTCGGTAGCCCATGATATCAACAACACATGGTTGTCTTGATAAGCAAGTAGTAATTTCCTAAGGTGCAAACATACCAATTTGTCCAACCCCAAGTCAACAACAACACAAGCACATAGTTTCTCAAATCATAAAATCAAATATCCGAAAACCAATTCGTAGAATTCCATTGTCCAAACAGTGCTGCAAATAAAATCTATCAAACCAAGTTTCAAATAGTGCCATACACAAACTGAAAGTAAAACTATCGTCGTCATTACTCCAAAAGAGATCGGTGCAAACTCTAATCATTTAGAAACCAAAAATAAAAAAAAAACGTAACATGTCTTTCAAGATCTAGGTAGTTTGTTCAAGACTGTCCAACAACTTGTAAATAAAAATATGATACAAAACAATAACTTAGTACTTAAGATCTTTATGCAAACTTCACAAAACTTAGAGGTGAAACGCGCATCACGAACAACAAGGTCCTGGAGTGAAGTAGTCAAAAGATGCGTAGAGGCGAACACATATTGTAAACATGTCTTTCATGACTAACCGTGGTCATCGTTCTCATGGCTGAAAAGTACAAGGTTCGAAACTTATATTAGAAGAACAATCATTCGAACTACTTCCTTCGAATAACGACTGCCGCTACAAACCATTCACATAAACTAGCTCATAATTACCAGACTCGGAACCCAAGGTGGAATTCAATCTTAGTTGATGTATATAAAAGGTATGTTAGGGTTGGGTGGAAGGTACCTTTAAAATATTTGGGCAAATGAACTTATATATATATATATATATATCATTGGAAAAGAACTACTAGAGTACGATATGATGCTTATAAATTGTAGCAAGATAATATGAGGTGGTTATTCATTCCCGCATGAAGATAGTGATTGGTGATGCAATCTGCTAACCACCCATACCACTACCTTCCCTAATCCTTACTAAAGGGCGGCTCAAACCTTAAGGCCACATGAAACTCTTCTTAGTAAGTCTGGTAGGCTTGCTAGAACGTTATGCTCCAAATATTCCTGCTAGCATCGATATGAAATTGGGCGCACGCATCCGCCGAGATTTATCATAAATTCCTCACTGATTAAGCAAGAAACCATGTCGAGAAGACTAAAAGAACACTCTAGGATTTGAGGGTCAAAACAAGTCCATTAAATCTAGAGTACAAGATATCTGGATTTAAATATACAACTCTGATGCTTGAGTTCATACAAGTACCTAGCTTGATTGGGTAGTAACAACTTGAAATGGTCGAACCTAGAAATTAGCTAACTCGATTTCTTGATGATCCATAGCCATGTCGCAAAGTATCCAAGAGTTTCATAGAAGGGGAAAATATAACTGATTGAGGAATATTTGGGTATTGGTGTGTCTTTCTACTGAGGTGTTCAACAACTACACTTGCACAATCGGGGTGGTACACGATGGTGCAGTTATAGACATTTATATGCTTTATCAATCACCGTCACCAGAGACTTAGCTCATTTCGACTGAGAATCTAAGTATGAAGTTTTGCGAGGTTGATAAATATCTTACGCGTTTTACCATGGTGAAGGTGTCCTTAAATTTTCAAGTCAGACAATAATTGTAGACCCTAGGTCGGAAATAGGACAAGTTCGCATCAAGTGGTCCCAACCGTCGAAAAGTAAAAGCGTTACCCAATATGCTGCCTCAATGTACAACGACACCTTCAATAAAACATCACCGACAAATTCAGAATTTATTGGTGTCATCGAGGAGTATATAAACAATGGTAGGGTGAGACAACATCTTGAACAAAACTGATTTATTCCCTAGCTGAAGATGAGGGTTTGGGTTTTGGTCGAAGAATCGTTGGCAACTGTCTATAGAAATCGACAAGACCAATGATATTTTGTAATTCACAACACTCGAGAAGATTCTCGATTTCCAACTGTCACAACCTTGGTTTTGGTAACAATAACTTCTGCTACCAAAGAAACTCCCAAGAAAAGTATCTACTCTGGACAAAACAACGTTTGAAGAATTTGACGTACAACTGACAATCGATATTTAGCGAACCTGACTTCGTGATTGAAGTAAGCAAGAAAGTTACCGATAGAACAATCGCCGAGAATTGTTCTAAGAATCCACATGATTTCTTCAACGAAAGCGAGTCCAAGGACACTGATTCGATCTCACCAACTAACATTTACTAAACTTCGCAACACCTAGCACTTACTCGCATTCTTCAACACACATTTTGAATGTTTCGAACATTTTCCTTTTAGACATGACTCTGCCGGCCATTCCTAGGGAACGTATGTTGCAAAGTGACATCACCAATTTAGGTCTTCCAAATTCAAACCACTTAAGATTTTTCTGTTTCACCACACTCTTGTGTAAATACGACTCTGCTCGCAATTCTTAAGGAATGCATGTTGCAGAGTAGCATCACCGTTTTGATTCTCCAGTTGGTCTTAACCAACTCATACGATTAAAAACTTTCCGTTTCCAGACACTCATATGTAGATCCGACTCTGCTCGCAATTCCTAAGGAACACATGTTGTAGAGTATTGGTCCGATGTTAAAAGTCGTCCAACAATCCATTTCGTCACCACTGAGGCACAATCCCGACACGAAATTTCATATTCTTCAATAGGATGTGACTATTCACGTAGAATGAGGGTTGCACGACCATGCCGAAAGACAACAAATCCGGAAATATTGACATCCACCAAATGATGTCATGATCGATACACTACTACCGTGATAGAAGATCCTAAGTATGCTTTTAACAAACCATGCTTTGATACCAAATTGACATGCCCGACCCTGATATTCACCAAACACCAGGGTAGGCACGTGCTGGCCGACACACTACTACCGTGACACAAGATCATGCTTTTCATCTATGCATTTCTAATAATAAAAACATGCATTTTGGAAGGGGACCACTCACCTTACTCTGTCGTCGAAAAGCCGTGCAAACTAACGAAGACAGAAATATCATAAACAATTGCACATCGTAGCTACTTGCAAAAACCCAAGATTGTATGGAATTTCCCCTATGATATGATTATACGATATATCCAGGATCTCAAAGCTTGTGCAATTTCCAATGTTGTCTGGGATTGTGCCAGTTAAATTATTGCCTCTAACGTCAAAGTACCACAAGCCTGTTAATTGACACATATCAAGTGACAGTGATCCAGTTAATGAGTTTCCGCGCAATCCATGGTACTGCAATACTTCGTTCCAATATATTAGCCTTAGAATCTCACCAGTAAGCTCATTTTGAGCAAGATCAAGAGTTTTAAGGTTCAGAATGTGCGTGAGAGTCGTAGTGATAAGACCAATCAGCTGATTGTTCTTCAAATTTAAAAGCTCCAGCTTCTTAAGCTTCGACATGGAGAATGGTATGTCTTTATACAAAAGATTGTCAGACAAATCCAGATATATGAGAGAAGCATAGTTGCCAATCTCATCGGGGATTTGACCAGTCAAATTATTCCCTTGTAAGTCTATGTATTCCAAGTTCCCTAAGTCTCCAAAGGCTGGCGAAATCTCTCTGCCGAGGTTCAGATTAGACAAATTCAAGAAGGCCACAGAGAGGCTGACATTGTTGCAGAAAACCCCATGCCAAGAACAGAAATCGCCGTCATAGGCATCATTCCAGTTGAGCAACACATTAACGATGTTGTTGAACGACGCCTTAATTGACATCAATGCCTTTCCTTTGTTGTTGAGTGGGGAGCCGAGAGGAAAGAGAACCTGCCATTAAAGCTAACCCAAAGCAGAAGAAGAGCTCCGTCTTCTTCCTCCATAAAACCTTTTTCTCCATTAATCTCCACAAAGGTTCGCAATTTCACAAAATCCAAGTCGCAGAAAGAGACATTGGAGAAGACATTACTAGAAAATATTATTTTGTACGACAAGTTCTAAGCCGACAAAGCAAAATTTTGTTGGCACAAGAGTCCTTTATCGACTAAAATTTTAATTTATCAGCTAAATATGAAAGCCAAAATCAATTTATATCATCAATTTTAAAATAGAAAATTTGAATGTTAACCGACAATCATTTTGTCGGCATAAATGCAAGTATTCTTCCTTCCTTTGCCTACTCTTCCATTTTCGCTTCGGCTTTCCTCGACCCCATATATTTTCGGATATGTTGCCACAACCTATCAACGTGTTTTGACGTAATTTTACAGGGAAGTGCGTAGAGTTTCAGCTCAGGTGTTCACACCACCACCTCCTATGAGTTTCTCTTCGGTGGCTTTGTTGCCTTCGATGACTTTGTTGCTAGGGGATCATCTATCACTAGCTTCCTTTGGTTTGTGGTTGTGGTTCCGTGTTGTGTGGTGCTTTGTGGAGGATGTTGGAGTCATGTTTTCCATCACTTCTGCGAAGTTGGTTGGCTGGATCTACGGAGTTTGTTTGGAGATCAGGTTTCCAGCGAGATCTCAGAGATGCTTCAACGACGGCGGTTCTTGCAAGACTAGGGTTTGTTAGTTTCTGGGCTCAAAATCTTTTTTTGGGCTCTGTTTTGGGGGTCCATATCTTATGTTGCTTTTCTTGTAATTGGACCATTCCTTTGTAATTATGTTGTGTTGTTGGTAATAATATTACCTTTCTTCCAAAAAAAAAAAAAAAAGCAAATTTAATTTTGACGGGTAAACTGTCGTTCTCTGCTGTCTTAGAATACTAGATGACGATTTTAGGGCAACAAAAAGTATTTCTTTGGCTGAGGGAAGAACTATTAACCAAAAATGAGGCACGAAATAAAAGCGTGGTTTCAAATTAGAAGCTCAAAGTTAGAATAAAAAAGGAAAAGAATTAAGCACTTTAGTAAAACACGAAGCGATTGTTTCCCTACATCCCACTCCCTCTCCCTCTCCCTCATCGCTGCAAATACACAGATAGCTCGACTGCCTCATTCCGCTGGAGATTAACACCGCTGTCAAATTAAAAGCACTAAAAAAGGGTTTTTTTTTTTTTTCTTTTCTCTTTTCTTTTTTCTTTTTTCTTTTTTCTTTTTTCTTTCCCTTCTAATTGTCCTCTTCAATTCAAGTTCTGATGCATAAGCCCATCAGTTGTCTCTGTAATTCATTTGGGTTTTCAATTTTGTTTTTCGATTTGTTTTGTCAGAATTGAAATGGAATTTGTGGGCTTGAATTTGTATTAGGTTGCGAGCCTATTGTGTGTTATATTTATAAGGGTGGATGAAAAAGAAAAAACCCATCAAAGGTGCCCAGAACTCGAAGGTCAGTGATCTCTTTAAGTGGTTATCTTCATTCTCCTCTCTAATTCTACGTCTGCCAGTTGAATTTGTAGGATTTAATTTAGGGTTTTAAGTTGGAAAATTTAATTTAACCTTTTAAGTTGCAGGGCTTGGTGTATCCGACAATTAGGGTTGTTAATTTTGATTGCTGATCCATTTCCTAATCCCCACATGTTATTTGGGACTCGATCGAGCATAGAGCGGCGAATGTTTTGTAGAAGGGATTGAGGAACAGGGCGAAGGTTTTGGAATTTGCACTAGATGATGCTGATAGTAGAGGTTCGTGTAATGCCACATCTTACCTTTTTGTTCCAAGTAATGTTGTAATGTATTACTTTTTCAATAGTCGTTTCCTGTTATCTATGATTGGTTATGATGTTAATGTTAAATTGCATTCTTTTTGGTGTTCTAGCTATGTTGATCGCGGTTTCTAGTTTTTTATTGTGATGTGTTGTGGTTGAGTCTTAGTTTACTATGTAACACGCAGGATCCGACATTGAAGAATCGTGCGAGGCAAGTGATGTAGAGAAGACGAGAGCTGCAACTGCGGTTAATAGCATCTTGTCCGGAGTGAACGGCCATATTAGTTTGTGGGAAGAGATCCAGCTTATCAGGGGTGGGCCTTCTCAGTTTAGCCTTCATTTTCTCTCTCACTGATGATTGTACTTTTTGTTTGCCTCGATATGATTGAACTGATCCACACTTACCAAACATGCCTATAGTTTATGCAAGTGATGGCTTCTTCAAATTGACAGGTAACGTTTACAATGTTAGGCTATTTGCCAGGATCTCTCTAAACCATTCTAAACTCCATGTTTACAAATCTTTTGAATAATCCAGCATATGTAGTTGTTACTTAACTCATATGTAGATGTGGTAACATGTACAATGTTGGGAGGGCTGTAACTATGCGTGCATAAGTAATCTTGTTCTCAAGAGTGGTTCAGTTTACTGCTGCAACTTTCATGGTGTATTGTTGACAAATTGGTTAAGCTTTCATGGTTTATCGTAACACTATGGTGTTGTTGCAGCTCTTCCCCATTTTCTAATATTTAACAGCTTGTTGTGTCAAAGTGTCTTCCATTGAATGTGTTTTCTTCATGCTAAGGATGCCTTTTCTTGTGTTGTCATATATAATAATTGCCACTTGTATTATTTTTGCAGGATATCACTAAGTCGATGTTGAGCGAGGAATGAGAGTAGGATGCGATAGTTTTATTGTATAATAGAATACTTTTGTATAACCACTGTACTTATACATTTTTTATTACCTATCAATGAAGCATTATCTTTGAACAATTTTTGTATCTTTCAATTTTTTTTTTTTTTTTTTTATAGATTGAAAGTCTCAGCCGATGAAATTAATTTTGTCGTTGGAGCAAGACTGTCCCGACGAAATATATTTGCCGACAACATCTCGTGTTGGCTAAAAGATGCATTTTGTAGGCTTGAAACACCCTTTGCTAATGAAATCGCAACCGACAAATACTTTGCCGACAAATTATTTTGTCACAAAGTCATCGTGGTGACAAGATAGTTTGACAACTGAGATTTGTCGTCTTAAAACTGAGATGAGGAAATATAAAAAATCGTTGAGAAAACTCTTAGGCGACATGCTTTGCACAACAAAATGGCTGACGAATTTTTTCGTTGAGAAAGACACTTCGTTGACAAAATTTGATTTTTGCCAACAAACTAATTTTGTCGGAAAAGTCGAAATTTCTAGTAGTGAGAAGGAAGAGAGAACAAGAGTAAAATGCTAAAACCAGAAGAGGGTGGATGAGCAAAGCCCTCTCTGTTCTTCACACTCACACATAATACCACTATCAAAAAGAGAGACAGAGACGAAGACAGATAAAGAGTTGTAGAGAATAGAGGTGAAGGATAAGGAAGAGAGAGGTCCCTGAGTTGTGTGAGGGGGAAAGGAAAGGCATGGGAAAGTGGGCCCCACTTAGCACACCATTTAAGACTCAAATAGTAACCCTTTCAAAAATATTTTATAACCCAAAGTTGAAAGACGAAAATGCTCTTCCCTTCCGTCAATTCTAGGATGGGTTGTTACAAATGTTGTTTTATGTTACTTAATTTAATTTAATGTTGTTTAATGGCTTATGAAGTTATAGGGAAAAAAAAATTAAATTAAAATTTTTTTTTTAAATTTTGTTAAAAAAAAAAACTATGAAAAAAAAAAAATTCAAATATAACGGCTAGCTGACGTCAGCAACTAGCCGTTGCTTTTGAATCTGTGGCCTAACCCGAGGCTAGCTGGCTGGCTGGGTTGGGCTAGTCGGTTGGCCCTTCGGCTCGACTCTCGATTGGAGACGATTTTTGGGTTATTTTCGACCCTCTGGCCCTCTAGACCCTTTGATTGGAGATGACCTTATATAGTTGTTGTTTTTGTTTTTAAAAGAGTAAGGTTTATGTCCCCTTTCTTTTCATGTATTTTTTATCTTTTTTTCTTGTATTACGAGGGATTAGATTTTTGTTCCCTTGACTAGGTGTATCATTTTTTCGATATCAATAAAATTTTCTCGTACCGTTAAGGTTTTCTAAAAGAAAAAAAAATCCCTTAGATGAGTTAACATATTAACTAGTCCTAAATAGCACATTTGTTCAATAATTGTAATTAGTATATGGAAATAAAAGAACAATAATTGAAATTACTAAAAAATCATTCGGCCTGACTCATTGGCCCTTTAACGCATGTCTAAAAACAAAAGAATCCGATGAGGGAAGAGAGCCGCTCTGTAGCTTGTTCATTTGCAGTTCGAGTACCTTCCCTTTACTCCTAATTAAGGCCCCACCTTCCATTTGTATTTTCTAATAATCAACAAGATCCTCTTCGGATTCTTTTGATGAGAATCTATAAATCGTCTAATTTTCACGTATAAGCAACTTTGCTCACCAAATGAAGATAGAAAATAAGACAACTAATAATTTAATGGTCTGTAGTTTTCACATATAAGCAACTTTGCTGTCCAATCATCCCACATCGTGTCACCTAAATATTGGCTGCGAGACCAAGCCTACAGGTTTATTTATTAAGTTATTAACTAATCTCCGACTTTAAAGGGCATCAACTCCTGTATAAATACCATGTGCAATATCACGAAGTTGTGCAACTTCCTAAAACTTCACTTGCTCTAAATTAAGCTTAGCAGCTGAGAGAGACTGCACATTTTTATTGCTGTCTTTCTCCCCCTTCAAACTTAATACAGAAACGTGGATACAAAAATCCTCTCCCTCCGGGAATACGGTGTCATATACTCCCACTTGCCGGAAAGCTATGTCAGACCAGAATCCGACCGGCGTCGCTTGTCCAAAGACTCCGAATGCAAAAACATTCCCGTTGTTGACCTGGCTTCTCCCAACAGAGCTCAAACTGTGCAGCAAATTGGTGATGCCTGCAAAAATTATGGTTTTTTTAAGGTACCCTCCTCCCTATATCATTAATTAGCAACTTATATATATGGATCGATCCCTATCTCACTCTAGTTAAGATATAAGATATTGCAAAACTCAATAATTGCATTTTTCACAAACTCATCATTACACGTACATGTGCATATGTGTGTGTACATATTTGTTGATATTCGGGTGATTTCGGTGCTAGGTTATTAACCATGGGGTGTCAACAGAAGGAGTGGAAAAAAATGATAGGGGTGGCCAATGAGGTATTCAACCTTCCTTTGGAGGAAAAGCTGAAGCTGTATACTCAGATGACCGCCAAAAAAACCATGAGACTTTCTACAAGTTTTAATCTGTAGAAAGAGAAGGCTCATAACTAGAGAGTTTACCTCCGCCTTATGTACCTTCTCTTTCTTTACATTAAAAAAACCCATAATTTTTGCAGGCATCACCAATTTGCTGCACAGTTTGGGCTCTGTTGGGAGAAGCCAGGTCAATAACGGGAATGTTCTCGTACTCGGAGACTTTGGACAAGCGATGCCGGTAGGATTCTGGTCTGACATAGCTTTCCAGCAAGTGGGAGTATGTGACTCCGGAGGGAGAGGAGTTTTGTATCCATGTTTCTGTATTAAGTTTGAAGGAGGAAACAAAGACGGCACTAAAAATTGCGCAGTCTCTCTCAGCTGCTAAGCTTAATTCCGAGCAAGTAAAGTTTTAGGAAGTTGCACAACTCAGTGATATTGCACATGGTGTTTATACAGGAGTCGATGCCCTTAAAGTCATAGATTCACCATTGTCTTGTAGGCTTTGGTCCGGCAGCCAATCTTTATGTGACGCTTGATGTGGGATAATTGGACAGCGAAGTTGCTTATATGTAAAAACTACCGACAATCAAATTATTAATTATGTCTTATTTTCTATCTTTATTTGGTGAGCAAGCGATCATGTCTAATTACAAATGGAAGGCCTTTTTTTTTCTTTTCGAAATAGCACTCCATTAATGTAAGGGAAATTAGAATTTGTGAAAGATGGGCCTAGGTTTAAACAAAACACAAAGTCTTACATAAAACAAAGTATGACATAAAAGATAAAACAGACCCAAGCAAAGTAGAGCTACAACTCAAAACACATAGAGAGGCCCACACATATGTAGACCCATAGGCAACAATAGCAGAAAAACAACAAAAACCCTAATCTTCAGCATCCAAATGACTGCTGCTGTCGCCACCACTTCCACCACAAAAAAAGCCGTTGCTCCAAAAGAAAAAGAGTACCTAAACCATAAACTAGATTTGAAAGTATTGCGCAAAATCCATCCACACAGAAACAAAGCCTTCACATCCACACCTGCAAGGAAGGTCACAGAACGTAACAGGAGGATGGGGAGGGGCAAAGGGGGTGTATAAAACACCCTTGTTCCAACGTGAATCGTTCCACACTTCGTCCAAATTTTCCGGTAAGCCGGTTCGGCAGTGGGCTGGGAGGATTGGGTATTGTGTGAAAATAGAGTCCAATACTCCAAGATCTAAATCGTGGTTCTGGGTTGGAAAATAAGAGTGGGAGCAAGAGGAAGGATGGAAAAATGGGTGTGAAGGTGAGGAGAAAAGGGGCAGGCATTGAGCAGCTTTTGAGTGAGAAGTAAGGAGAAATCTGAGACAAATACTCAGAGATCTGAGACAGAGCTTAGAAGAGAACATAGAGAAGGAAACAGAGAAGAAATGATATACTAAAGCAAGCGAAAACAAGAGGCTGCCACCGGACCCTAAAGCCAATGGCCTGGGGCCGACGGCTGAAGATTGGCTTTTCTTCCGGAGCTTTTTAGAGATAAATGGAAGGTGGGGCCTTAATTAATTCGTTTATAAAGAAGAGTAAAGGGAACGTACTGGAATTGCAAACGAACAAGCTATAGGGCGTCTCCCTTGCTTGATCAGATTCTTTAGTTTTCAGACATGCATTAAAAAACCCCACCTGAAGTACTACTTTCATTTTATGCATGGATTGCTAATTGTTGGTTGTATTCTAGAAGAGAACCTTTGTCCGAACTAATAAAAAAGGTTTACTGTATCTTTTCGAGAGTTTTCGCTTATCATTTTTAAGTTGTATTAGTGAACATTACCAACACATTAACTATTATTACTATTTAATTCTCTATTCAGACCTCATTCAACTACAGTGTAATGCTCAGAACCACATAAGCACTAAATAAAAAATGAACTCTATCTTTCAAAGTCAGTTAAAAAAAAAGTGCACCATTTTCCACGCATCCTAAAACCCCAAGGACTCATTTGATAGAGAGGATTAGCTTGGGAATGACTATTCACTATATTGAAGTCATTTTTAAAGAAAAATGGGTGACAAATTTCTTATTTTGTCCATGTTGAAAGTTACTCATAAATAAAAGATATCCCTACTAATCTCTATACAAATGGTTAGATTAAAAGAGACCACTATTCTTTATATGTGACCTTCAACTTTGACAAAATAAGGAATTTGTTATTCATTTTTTCCTTTAAAATCCCTGTAGTATAGTAAATAGCAAGCCAATCATTTCTATCAAACAAGGTTTAAGTGATCATTTATAGAGGTAATTGCATTGCAAATTTTTCGCATATTAGTCATATAAAGAAAGAGAAATGCTAAGAACTTTCCTACTTATCTTCTCTCTTCTCTTGTTGCCATGTATACTCCACTAGCACTCAAAATTAAAGTAAGAGGTCTTAGGTTTGAATCTCATGGATGACGAATTCGATATCAAATTAGATTGTCCATTGTGTCGCTTAACCGACCTCTCGCTCCCCTTTAGTATAAAATATATCGTTGTACTCAAAAATTAAAATTCCACTATTCTTCTTCTTTGTTAGTGTAATTAAAACTTTAGTTTGTCAACCTAAATGGAATTTTTATTGTCTCCAAAAATCTAACTGTGCACTCAAAACTTGTTATATTTAGAAGGAAAAAATAATACTTTTATGAGGAGTGCATAATTAAATTTTGGTTGCCAATAATAGTTTCCAAACAAAAAATTAATTGCATTCATAATTTTTCGTGCAAGTGAAAATACATGTGGTATGAGTAAAAGTGAGAAGGTTGTTGGTAATCCCATTGAAAAAAATCGCTTAACTGCATTGTGTCCAATTTTAATTTACTTTCACTTTATTACGATACTCAACAAACGCCATATCAAATATGTATTACGGCACACAGGTATGCCGTAATTATTTGCAGTATTACGACACTCCATGAACGCCGTATCTAATATCAATTAAGGCATGCAAGGCACACCTTGAAGAGCATGTACAACGTGTTTTACTAAAATTGTTCACGACTACTAGAGTACGTCGTATTTGACAAAACATTTTTTACAATAGGGGCTTTTATTGCTTCAGGGTTCCCATGCTGTAAATAATCGTTTACGATGCCTTTGTGCGTCGTAAAAGACTAGTTCTATTGTAGTGCCTAAAGTTTACTTACACTTGAGATGCCATCGTAGTGAAATTCCAAACCCTTAAAACACTATTATATATATAGAAAAATAAAACACATGATGATGTATGATTGACTTGAGTTACCATCATAATGATATGCCGAGTGTTTTGTTGGTTCAGTTGGGCCTATGATTGCATTGGGAAGATATTGGTGATGAAGACTGGAATTACAGTTCATATGCATTTGTATCTTTCTATCCCAACATCTGCAAACATATCCCATGCATTATTTCAACTAATTCACTGCACAATTTAAGCACGGCATGCATTACTTAGTCATGTTATGAATTATGAATAAAGCCATTTTTTCGTACTAGAAAAAGATGGAACGTGCCTTTGAGTTGAGTTGCCTATAAACTAAGACTTGTTTACAAGTTGGGAAATTACCTACCAAAATTAGTGGGGAAAGAAATAAGGCAATGATGAATTTTTGGACACCTGACGACTTTCACAATGTTTTTGGAAAGCATGCATGTAATTGTAAGCTGTATCCAAGACGACGATGCATCTCTTTATATCTATAGGCTGTTTTGGCGGTGGAAAATGGTTTTGCGAAGAAATTTGAGGTTGGACTCCAAAATCAAAACTTTTGCAAGATTTCATAACTTTGGAAATGGAATTATTCTTCACATCCCCACACACTTTTTTATGTCTGATAATATTTCAAGCTTGACATATGAGTCAACATACTCTGATGTTGAGAAAGAAGTTGAAGTTTGATCCAAAAACTAATCAGTAATAGAAACGTGGCTTAACTCTTTATAAGAGCTGGCAAAGTTTTCAAACTTTCCGATGTGGATAATTCTTCGCATGCTCACATTGAAAAGGGGCACTCGATGTTAACAAGGGGGTAGTAAACTGTGGTTAATATACTAATTATACCTTGTGGTTCCCTCAAATTATATTGTTAGTAATACTAACACAATCATAAATGATCAAATGAAGTTTGTGTACCAACTGAGATTTAAATCTTGAATGAACAAACCTAAGAACAAACCTATGTGATAAGAAACAAAAATAGAAAGACTAAAACATCCCTAGGAACAAAATATAATCTTGAATGAACAAACCTATGTGATAACAAATAAAATGGCTCCGCAGACTCTCCAGAAGTCGTTGTCATTTTTTGCTCCATTGCAGACGATTCTGAAGGCACAGAGCAAGTCCAGACTGTCGAATGCGGTGCAGCCAAAAATTATAGCATCAACTGCGGTTGCTTTGTCGCTGGCGGTGATACACGATGGCGTCGATAGAGAGAGACTTACTGAAAGATTTAGTTGCAAAGCATCATCAACCCGCGAAGAAGAACAGGACCCGTTTATTTTCATTTCAATATTTCCAAGATGGGGTGGGCTATGCCCTTTCTTTTCATTTCGATATATGGAGAGGGATATTGCCATTCGTTTTGATATTTCCAAGATGGGTATTAAAACTTGGAATCAATAATATTAATTTGCATATCTTCAATAAGAAAGAAATTAAAATAAATAATAATATAGTATTGAAAACATTATTATTTTCATTATCCCGCTTCTTAATTTCACTAAATTAGTCCAGTTTAGTGTAATTTAAGTCAATCCAACTTAATCACTGAAGTTAGTCTAATCTGAAATATTCTCGTCCAACAATCGTACCCTTAGGATTTATTTTCCTATTTTGGAATTGATTTAATTTTTTTTATAGAGCTCTCAAATATTGACACATGCCATTTTTGATAGCCTTTTTTATTTGATGAGTCATGTGCCACATGTGTTGGGTGGGACTAATGAATTAGACTAGCGACCTTTCACTATTCAAATGATCAAATTTTAATTAGTGGATCCCCGAAATATTGATGTCTACAATATATACACATTTAATATGTACAGTCTACAATATATACATACATAATATGCACAGTAAATAATTTAAGAGCTGACGGATCAAGTTGAGTCGAAGATACAGATACATATGATAGTTGTTATCTGATCAAAAGTGGGCCAAAATTTTTCTGCTTTCTGCATAGCTTTCACATCCTGAAAGTCCTAGGATGGGTACTAACTTAATCTATAAATGACAACTTAACGCTAAAGCAAATTATGATTTCGATTAATCAGTTATGCAAAATTAATCCTACACAAATGATCAACATGAATATAAAAAGCAAACACATGATGTAGGATTTAACGAGGCAAAACCCACCACTGGGAAAATCCTCGGGCTACCAAGCCAGGAAGCACTAAGAAAGAAAGAATACATAAAGACTTACAAAACTCATCAACTAGATACTCATACCAGTTGGCAGCTTTGTCTTCGCGCTTTGCTACTTGATCTTTCTTCAGTCCTCGAGTTGAAGTGGCACGGTACTAACGCAACCGTCAATCACCTTTCCCTCGAACTTTGCACGATGCTAACTCGATCATGCAGAATGTTTATATGATGAAGTGTTTGTTTGGAAAATA